TTTTGTTTTCCATTTTAGAAGAGTGAAAAGATGGAATCTTTCCACAACTTGTTTATCAACTGGCTTACTTGCAAACAACTGAAGTACCTTGAAGTATTTCTTTCCTAATTTAGCTAAGTATAACCACATGCAAGTCTGCTTGCATTTATCTATTTAAGTTCCATATAGATTTCTTGTAATATTATTGCACTGTCAGAGGAAATGGGCCTGAGAACATGGATGAAAGATGGGGAAGAAAACATGGTCCCCAGGGGAGAACCATGTTCACTTACTAGCAGATAAAGCTGTTTCTTTAGAATGCTTCACAGGGACCCTCTCCTAAGGACAAGTTACTGGGGGCCGTCTGCTACTACGCTGGGTGGTCTGCTTACCTGAGACAGTGCTGAGGTAACAGTCCAATGCACACTGGGGAGAGGTGTGATCAGTTACCTCCAGAAGACACCTGCAACAGGAATCATTCAAGTTCTGGAGCTCCCTGGCCCCTTGCCAACTGCTCACCACCTGGTGACCAGCCTGCTGGGTGATGCCAGGCACTGGGGAACCACTGGCCTTCTACCTGCCCTCTGACTTCTCAAAGCAGTTTTTATCTGGGGATCATCTCACCTCCTTGAAAGGTTCATCTTTCCTCTTTGGCAAGTTAGGATTTCACTTCTGAGTGCTTGCATTTATTCATTTCTCTCAGTGCTAATGTTGGGCTCATCCAAACAGTTCATCTATTCCTTCTGGACATGAGGTATCCCTGAACCAGCTCCATTTCTTTCAAAATTCGTGAGGTAAACACAGAGGACATGGAGGGCAAGGAAAGCTAAAATGTAATGCCATTTATAAGACTTATAATTCTTTTTCAGAACCCTGACTCAACTGGTGCTTGAAATGTAGAACTAAATCATGGGTTAGGAATATTTTATGAGATCCTTTCAGTCTGGCTTAAAGGTGCTAAGGCCTTAAAACATTTGTTCCTCTTGGTTTGTTATTTCTAGTCCAATCCTCTTTCTACTTGTTTTTTTTGGAAACAGTTCATCACATTTGCAAAAACTTCAGCTAATTTTTCATTTGTGAGTTCACTAGGTCAATTTCAAGCACCTATTCAGACTTGTTGATAACCTATCAAAATGACAGTAACTTTCTCTAAAGACAAAACTTCCAACCTTGTTTAGGAGAAACAAGATAGGCTACTTCCACATGTTTACTTGAAGAATCACATATTTGCTGTAATACAATTTTGCTACCTCTAAGTGCAGTTCCTGAGTACAGTGCAAAGTTTCATACTACAGAATGAAAAAAGGAAGCTTGTCACATTTAGAGGAATAATATTCAGTTTTCAATTGAGAATAGAGTTCATTTACTTTTAACATAAAGCAAAAGACTGTATTTAAAAACTTTTATATTAATAGTTAATTGCTATATATGTGTAGCAAAAAAATCTAGCACACCTCACATACCACGAATGCTGCTATGATTTTAGGACATGTGATCTTCATTTTTAAAAACAACTATCACCCATAGTCCCAGAGAGCATGAAAATTTGCAATATCCATCAGTCACCCTGTCAAAGTCATAAAATCTTTCCTGTCCATTTTTCAAATTTCAAAACATCACAGCAGGATTGTAATCAACCATAACAGTAATATTTATAATATACAATTTAACTGTAATGACACATATAAGGATTTCTTTATCACAAAGTTGTTCCCCTGAGACATTTGTGTCTTCCTATCAGTATGGAAAACAGCATTCAAGGGTTGAGCACACTGATAGCAGCACATTTCAATTGGAAAAATAACCTATCCAAAACTGTAAATTTCCATCAAAGGATACAATCTGAAAGATACCATAAAGGTATATGTAAAATAACTTGTTATCTCATTTAGTTGTCAAACATGAAGAATTTCATGTTTGGATGGAATTTCATCCAAAGAGTCCAGGTTGACACAGAAGCGTTGAGGTTCCCTTGCTTGGGAGTCCTTCATAGCTGTATCTCTAATGTGCTGAGAAACTGTGTCAGTTCTGATGCCTGTGCATTGTATCTCCAGTTGATTTCTGTGCTCGTGAATATACACCATAAATAAAGTCAAGGGAAAAACAATAAAAGTAGGTTTAAAAAGTTTTTCCTGCCTTCAGACAGAAGCTGAAGCCATTTCTAAAGGAATCCAGCATATTTAATGTACATGGCTCCTCACCATTCCCAACAAAAGAGAGAGGTAGCAATAAATATATTTTTCAATTCAGCATATCAAAAGGATGTGGATTCTATACATATTAATACTGATGGAATTCACTAAGCAATATTGTCACCTTCACACATCTTAAATACAAATGGTGATTAATTGATGATATTGCTGGGATTGCACATAATCAACAAGTCCTATGTTAGTTTTTGAACATCAAAATTCATAGTATTTAATAAGTCATAGATGGTATCTCTAGGAAGACCTTAACTCCAATTCAGTTCCATCATTTGGGTAAACTTCATAACAATGTTTCTTAATTAAGTTCTGCTTTAGAATGCCAAAATAGATGTACACATATCACCCAGAACCGCATAGATGTCCACACAAAACTCAGTAGTGTTTGTTTTCCCAGAAAGTTTCTGAAATGCATCTATGAGCTCAGGGTCTAGTGTACATGTCACTATTCTCTGAAGATCTCTAATTAAATATCACATTTCTGGAAGAAGATAAAGTTAACAAACAGTAAGCACATATGCCTGCTGCAGTCACTTCCCTGAGAATGAAATATTCTGCTTTTAAAAAGGAAATGACAGGGGGCTTCCCTGGTGGCACAGTGGTTGAGAGTCTGCCTGCCGATGCAGGGGACACGGATTCGTGCCCCAGTCCGGGAAGATCCCACATGCCGCGGAGCAGCTGGGCCCGTGAGCCATGGCCGCTGAGCCTGTGCATCCAGAGCCTGTGCTCCACAATGGGAGAGGCCACAACAGTGCACAACAGTGAGAGGTCCGTGTACCGCAAAAAAAAAAAAAAAAAAAAAGACAATTTCAAGTACACATATTCAGATAGAGTTTTTTTTAACAATATTTTTTTAAATTTAATTTTTAATTTTTTAAATTTAGTTTTTTAAATTTTGGCTGCATTGGGCCTTCATTGCTGCATGTGGGCTTTCTCTAGTTGCGGTGAGCAGGGGCTACTCTTCGTTGTGATGTGCGGGCGTCTCATTGCAGTGGCTTCTCTTGTTGCGGAGCATGGGCTTTAGGAGCGCAGGCTCAGTAGTTGTGGCGCATGGGCTTAGTTGCTCTGGGCATGCGGGATCTTCCCGGACCAGGGATGGAACCCGTGCCCCTGCATTGGCAGGAGGATTCTTAACTACTGCACCACCAGGGAAGTCAAAACAAAATCAACAAGTATTTTGTGTATCAAAAATGATCTGAGAAGGCTGATTCATAATCTGTCCCATACAAATATTCAGCGACTTAGAATTAGATGAAATCACAGAGATTTCATTGCACAACAAAGAATTTAAAAATTATATAAAATAAAGAGAAAAAATTGAAATGCAATCAGGAAAAGAATGAGGCCTACTAAGTTCAAGTAACAACTTTGCACTAGAAGACAGTTTAGATAGTCAAAACAAAATGATCATTGTTTTACTGTGAAGGGAAGGGGCTCCTTGTTAACCTCCTTGCTGGGATGTGACCCCCTGCACAAAACGCTTCCCTTACCAGTGCCTAACCTTCCCTTAAAGTCTTGGTCTTGCACTGGGAGAATGCTGATTCAGTGACTGTCGTAGTTTAAGAATATATCATTTTGGCAAAAGAATGCATCTATCAGCTTAGAGCTGTTGATGGACCTAAAGCTGCTGTTGAAAAAGACATTTGTTTGCTTATTTTTGTTAATTCTTACTAACTTCTAGCATAATACCTGCCATTTGTATGGTCTAGAAGTTAGTTGGAAACATTTTGCTCCCTTTCTGGTCAATAAGGTATGCATTTAAAATTTTATGCATTATAGCACAGGGAGATCAGCTCGGTACTTTGTGACCACCTAGAGGGGTGGGATAGGAAGGGTGGGAGTGAGGGAGACACAAGAGGGAAGAGATATGGGAACATATGTATATGTATAACTGATTCACTTTGTTATAAAGCAGAAACTAACACACCATTGTAAAGCAATTATACGCCAATAAAGATGTTAAAAAAATTTTATGCATTTAAAAACACCTTCAAATAAGCAATTTCTCTTTTCTTACCAAGGTGTGACCTCTGAATACTATGCTTTTCTACACCATTTGAGAAGAACTTTATAGTTCAAACTTTCACCCTATAGCTTGGTTTGTTTCTAAATACTGGTTTCTATCACAATGAAAATTTGTGCCCCTCTAGGCCTGTGCCTCCTGTACAATAAAGACATGTGCCCATTCCATACATGAAAAGAGATAAAATATAATCATGTAGGTTCAAGTTAAGCTGGAATAGAAATAGAATTTTTCCTGGTTTAAATCAACAATATCATAGCCTTTTGACTTCACATGTAAATTTCACATGTGGATGAATTTGGTTGAAAGCTAAAACTGAAAATTTTCATTCCTGTATTCTCATCTATTACTTTAAATTACAGTGTGTTTGTAATTATTAATTTGGCTTAAAGACAAGGATTCACTGGTAATTTTCAAAGGAATGGGTTAAAGAGAATAGGATATAGTTTAAGTACTAAACATACTAACTGTAAAAATAGTATGGATTCACATTAAGAGATTTTTCCATACTATAGAAAAGATTATTGTGTTTCAACCACAGTACTAAATTTTATTTGATCATACTAAAAACATATCAATGTAAATAAGATAGAACGTAGTGAGAAGTAAATAAAAAGCATAATTTCAGCTTTCAGATTACTAATTATATAGATTTAAAATCTTCTTAAGTAGTTAGAAGTGCAGTCTGATTTGGCAATAATTTCTTGACATTATACCAGTTATAAGAAGCCAGTTGAAGAGATTTTAGCCCAATAAGAACCTAGAGAATTTTCACCATAAATTATCCCCACACAGGAATGGGACACTGTTTTGGTGCTCTGGGTTCTCTTTTCTAGAGACGTTTCAATGAATAAAGAAGACATTTATATTTTATTATATAACTTATTTTCATTTCAAATTCTCAAGCAATAAAAAATTTAAAAGCAATGTTGGTAATTTCAGTTAGGCAGGACTTGGAATATGGAATATTGCATCTCTTTCATAGACTCTATGACTCTTCAAAGTGTCCTAAAAACACTATGAGTTTGATTAGCAGCAAAACATTAGCCTAATCAAAACCTTCCTCCTCCCCCTATGCATATATACATATACACAAACTATACATCAATACATTCTTAGCTTAAATATGACAATTTGACTGTTATTCCCAGAGGCTGTGCAAGGTTACAAATACTGTTCAAGACCACTAGTACCCAACTGGTTAAGAGAAAACCAATCCTTTCATTAAAACAAACAAATAAAACTACAAAATAATTCGATCACATATTCTGAATTTCTTTTAAGATTAAAAACATTGAGGGATACAGTGAATCACCCAATATATTACTGTTCTGAGTTCTATAATTTTCTTTATCTAAAACTATCTTTTATACATAGATGCGTTTAAACATAGTTTCAGCAATTCTAAGTAGATTCCTTTGAAAAATATGACAAGTATTTTTTTTTTAACTTGGAGGAAAGTTCTGCAAGGAGTGGGTTTTCTTCTCACAGATGAATTTTGCAGCATTTTCTCCCAGAAGCACACTGTCATCCTGTATACATGTGTCCTAAGGATGAAGCCTCTTAGCACTGGACCTCCAGAAAGAGGTCCTGCAGGCACCATGGTATGTTGGTCTTTTCTCTTCCACACTCTTTTAGCAGCACCCAATCTTTGGGCATCTTGCCAGTAGTGGTTGAAGTCCAGAACTTGATCTTCACTGGGAAAACCAAGTCCATTCAAAATGCAGCACTTTCATCTTTTGGTTGGGTGATTCTTGGTCCCCCATGGATAGGAGTGATACCTAGAAGATTCAAAAGTGGAAGAAGTTCTCTACAGTCTCAAATATTTTAGTTCACATATTCAGTTTCAAAAGCAGTAGCTCAGGTATATAAATAAATAAATCACAATGAATAAAAAGGTGATTCTAAACATGATGGAATGGGGAGATTTTTAGAAAGTTGACTTTTGCTGAAGTTCAGTGCTAGCATTTTCTTTCTCAAATTATAAATGTAATAGGAACTAATAATCCTACAGTGGAAAAATTAATACCCATCCAAAGTAACCTGTACATTAAATGCCTATTTTAAAGCAATGCAAGTTGATTCAATGTAGATTTCTTTTTCTCTCAACACATATTTCATTGTTACAAAGTAAAATGTTAATATGTGCCCCTAAGTATAAAAGAATGGTATGCTGGTCATCTATTCATTCACAAAACTCAACAGTTTCACTCTCATTAGAACAGTGATAAAATGAAGGCACGCCAGGCTGTATCCTTCTGGTAAGGAAGCTAAATATTAATGTGTGCAAAATATAGGTAATCATACATCCCTGCAAATGACCACAAATAGAGCCCACCTGGGGCTGGCCCAGTTTATTTTGACCTTGTTTCATTTTCCTTGCAATCTCAACTCAGTTCTACTTCCCCTTCCTAAATCCCTCATTTAGGTTAGGGCTCCTTGCTGCTGTTTCTATTTTTGTTATCACTTTCTTTAATGCAGTATGTTGTGCCTGAGACATTCTTCCTACCAACTGCCTAAGCAGTCTCACCATTACTTATAACAGTTCTAGGTATCTTCCCCAAAGACAGCTAATAGCTAGATAATGGCCTTATCCTGAGACTTTCCATTTGAGAATAGCATCTCTCTAACCCTAACTAAACATAAACCCTATGATCTAAGCTGAAATGTTCCATGTCTTGGCTTAATGCTTTAGCTGCTGTCTGGATGCTTTGTAGATGTGTGTATAGGTTTGAACTGACAGTCTTAAGCTGTAAGCTTGAGGAATACAGGACTTATGTATGTAATTCCCTTTGCATGGTTATTAATCAGGATCATTTAATAATATTTTGCAATGATGGCTGTGATGACAATTAAGATGATGATGATGATTATGAGAACAATAGAAGATCTGACTAGATACTGGTGGAGGAGTTAAAACAATGTTTCTTATTTCAAACCACATTGCTAGGGAAGGTTTTCTCAACTTGTGTTCCAAGTAAAAGATGGAAATTCACTGGGTAAACAAGGTCAACAGATTTCTTTCCTAAAGTATATCTCAAAGTTTTCAATATAGTCATGTGTGTCAACATTCTCCCAAAATGGAAAAATGTACATTCAGGGTTTCCCAAATATATTTGGTCATGGAACTTTATTTTTCATATAACATCTATTATCATCTTTGATAATATTGGCTATTTACAAAACCTATTTCGGAAAATACACTGTACTGATTCTAAGTACTGATTCTAATTACCTCTACATGTCCTGTGATATTTAGCATCCGCTATCCTTTGAGCACGGAAAAATCATGACTGTCACAGCTGATCTGATTCATATTTGGAATTATGTACACTTTCAGTTTGTGAAGTATTAGGTACTTCTATGTGGAGCCTGACTTACTTCTTGGAAACTAATTGGGAACATCGGTAAACAAGTAATGGCTTTAAGCACAACCAAAGGTTATTTTCACTGGTAAACCGTGAAAACTGTCTCCCCCAATTATATATGCTATCACTGCTATTAGGAGCTGAAAAGGGAGTATCATGGTTATATGGATTTTTTTTTTTTTGCTGTACACGGGCCTCTCACTGTTGTGGCCTCTCCCATTGTGGAACACAGGCTCCAGACGCACAGGCTCAGTGACCATGGCTTATGGGCCCAGCCGCTTTGCAGCATGTGGGATCTTCCCAGACTGGGGCACGAACCCGCATCCCCTGCATCGGCAGGAGGACTCCCAACCACTGCACCACCAGAGAAGCCCCTGGTTATATGGATTTTTAAATGGATGATTCATTTTTATTTGGAACATTTTAAGAAAATTTGATGTCATTTCCATCATATATTACTTTAACTTGATCGTTTAAATCATATCTTCATATTATATTCACAATTCTGAATATAACTGTAAATAAATTTTCACCTTTGTCATTAGGCCTCTTATTGTCTATTTACCATAAGAAGAAAATCTGCAATTTCTTTTAATACAGGAATATGTCTTTGAAAGTAGAAGTAATGTTTGATTTTTTAAAAACTTAATAACTGTAGAATTGAAAAGGATAACCATAAATTTCAAAATAAGACTGGAATTACTATTTCTAAAAAAGGAAAAATAAGAGCTCTTATAAGAGCTTCCTGAAGTTCCTTACACCCCTGTTTTTTCATTATATTTAGCTGATTTTCTGCAAAAATTTGAAGACATCCATTGCCCATGATCCTGAGTCTCTGAGAAAATGTGATTAAAAAAATGATAAGCATGACTTTTGCCCCACTACAAGCCAATGGCACTTGAAATAATAAGTTGCTGAGAGTCAAGAACAGAGACATTCATACTATCCATGGAAGGCTGGATGTACTCAGATCAAGAGGAAAAAATGAAAATCCAAAATCCCTCCAGGGATGGGGGGAGAAGAGTTATAATGGAGATGGTTATTTCTATTAACAATATACCCTTGGAAAATGAGAATTACTCATCATTTCTCTGTGGTTACAAATCACAACAGGACTAAATGTACAAAGATAGTATTTTGGAAATATATTATCAAGCCAAAAGAGCAAGCAGCTGAATAATCTTATCTGTGATTCATAAGAACAACTCACTGAAACAGGGAAAAAAAAGGCTAACCTAACCTCAAAAAATATTCTAATTTCAATATAATGACCTTAATAGAATGTTCTTGAGACCTCTTTCTCTTTCCACGGCTAACAGTTATCTTTGGGGAAGACTTCTAGAATACTTTAAATAGTGGTCAACAGATAGTTTCATTAGCTAGACAGGAAGGTTATTCCTCCATGTAGAAAAGCCCACTTAGGGAAAACAAACTCCACTGGACTATGTCTCCTAAGGCAACTTTGGCCATATAGGATGTGTAAGTGGTTACTCATGGTCAATTTGATGCTTCTGTTATGAGTGGGCTCCTTGGAAAAGTCAAGAGACAGCTCATGTATAGCAGACACTGTCAGCGCCCATATCCCCTCTTTCAAAGCACTTCAAAGCATGCTGGCCTGATTCCTTACGGCCAGCACCTGCGTTTCTTTTCCTGAGGATATCTCTGGTCTCTAGAATCTTCTTTGTCCACCCTTACAGAAGGCCAGAAATGCCAGGGAACTAACGTCCTCTGGGGAAAAAGGCCTCAAACGATGACTAATGGAAATTAGAGATAAATACCATCCCAGCTCCCTCAGTCCATAAGTGGGAGAATTGAGGTACATGTTCTCCACTGGCTCTCAGATTTCCACAATGGGATCAAGCTCCAACCACCACAACAGTAACTTACTTGAAAATGAAATCTTTATTGAATTATTTCTTCAATCCCTTACCAGAGTTTCTTGGGATTGCCTCTCAAACTAATTGTACTCAAATCTTTGTGCCCTAAACTGTGCCCAACAGTAAAATTGCAGGAATCCATAACTGAATGAAATTGATATAAAATAGAGTATATTTTTAGATCACCAATAATGATTATTTTAGAAGATAACACAGCCCCAGTAAACTGCAATTTCTTATTTAGGGTAAGCAAATGGGAACACATAACAACAAATCCCTTTCCCACAAACATATCTTAAATTCACCAGAAGTGATTCTTTGTTTAGTTGCACTTTCCCCCTTGCATTCTATACAAATAATTGCTAGATTTTAGTCATGGACATTTGAGTTTCGGCTCTTCCAATATGGGACAAACATGCTTAATTTAAAAAAAATGTAGAAATAATTTTCCATTTCATTATGTAGGAGTAAATTACTACTAAGTGATCACCCTTTCTTTTTCAACCAAGAATACAGCAGCTGCATCCATATAAAATATGGTCAACATACATTCTACTCACAGTTGTGTCAAGTCTAAGCCAAGATATTTTACAAAAGTGTTTAAAATAGAAGGTTGGGGAAAACCTCTAGAATCAAGGATAGAGAAATTAGATCTAATATCCAATGGTCTAAATTGAATTTTCACATTTCTAGATCTCACCTGTTAGAAGTAAAATTGTAATAACCACTTTCCTCTAGGACTTCTTCAATCACAATCTAAAGTTAAAAAATATCAGGTTAGTATTGAATTAAAAGCAACAAAATAAAATCATTCAGAGGCACCACAAAAACCTCACCTGCATCTGTTCATATGTTATCCCCTGCTCCAAATCAAAGCTGGAGGGTAGACCTGAAATAGATAAATTATGAAAAGCCTGACATTTGGTTCATGTTTTCTTAGATTTTATTGGCAATTATGATTCACATGCAGTGAAAAGAGGTCAGTTTCTTAGTGATGAAGATGAGTACTTACAAACACATTCCAAATTATCTTGGCTTTTGGGGTGGCCATCACAAAATAATACACAAGAAATATGTGCATTGCTCATGGTATAAATTGGCCAATTAAGTTAGGGGTGTGTGTGTGTGTGTGTGTGTGTGTGTGTAAGGATAGGTGAGGAGTGGTTCTAAACACAAACCTCCTGATAGGCAAATAAAAGATTAAGAAACTATTCCTAATCCACAAGGCAAAAAGAGTAGATATGTGCTAGAAAAAAAACAAATTCTTAGAGGAAGGCAGAAATAGCCAGAGGAGGACAACAAAGGTCTAACCCTTGGCTATGGCTGCCAGGAGGGAATAAAATACATTTAAAATCAGAAGACAGTAATTCTTTTGAGGTTTGGTCTGAGTATGATATACCAGCACATTAACAAACCCCAGCACCACCCAAAGCAATGTTGACCAGTTTCCACTCAGGTCAATCAACACTTATCACATGGAGGCCCAGGAGCTCCCCTGCCACTTACTTAGGAGAGAGAAAAGAGAATGGGTTGAAGGTTAAGAGGACGCACAAGGATGTGAGTGCTGGCAGCTTGTTTTTCAAGCCCAGCTTAAAGGTGTTGCCCAAAGTGCTCCCTGGTTCTGCTGTCTTTGCTTCTGTCCAGGCTGCCATGACTAGGGACACACCTGGTCTGCTCTGGGTAGGAGCATCCAGCTTCTGGAAGAGCCTGTCAACTCCCTCTCAGGATGCTGAGAGACTTCCACCAGAGTTCTTCACTCAGCAGGGCTGCTGTGGTAAGAAGTCTGGCCTGTGACTGACCTACCTGCCCAGGGGGATGCAAATGACTTTACTTCACTTAGTATGATAATCTCTAGATCCATACATGTTGCTGCATATGGCAAGATTTTATTCTTTTTTATGGCTAATATTCAATGATATATATATATACCACATCGTACTAAGTGAAGTAAGTCAGAAAGACAAATATTATATGATATCACTTATCTGTGGAATCTAAAAAATAATACAAATGAACTTATTTACAAAACAGAAACAGACTCACAGACATAGAAAACAAACCTATGGTTACCAAAGGGGAAAGGGGGGGGAGGGATAAATTAGGCATATGGGATTAACAGATGCACTCTACTATATATAAAATATATAAACAATAATGATTTACTGTATAGCACTGGGAACTATATTTAATATTTTTAATAACCTATAAAGGAAAAGGAAAAGAATCTGAAAAAGAATATATATATATCTGGATCACTTTTCTGTACACCTGAAACTAACACAATATTATAAATCAACTGTAGTTCAATTAAAAATAAATAAAAGCAAATGACTTTAGATAACAGTTTATCTCAATTTTACAGATTTCTCAGGGATGATTTTAAATGCAGTTCTGTCTACCCAGTTTAGCTGTATCCTAGGAGTCCAAGACTTAGGGAAAGTTTGATAATTAGTACATGAAGTGATTTGCCTAAATTAGGCAACTTCAAAAGCACAACAGGATTAGGCTTATTTTTTGTCTGAGTAGATGGCAAGTTTTCATTTAACAGTAAAAGTTTCACATCTGTCTGCCCCACTGAGAGATATAACTATAGTTTACAGGGATTCCGAAATTATTTAGGAATTCTGTAACCTCAGAGTAGCTTGAAGATCTCTTCTGAGGTCAAAAATATCACAAGAAAAATTACATTATGCTGAGTCCCTACTACTGGCTAAGTACTTTTTATATATTTACACTGATCATTGCTATAATCCTAAGATGGTTACCATTTTTGTTCCCATTTTACAGGCAAGAAAACTGGGGTTCAGTGAGGTCAAATAATTTGCTCAAGGTCAGCTACTAAGAGCTTGAGCTGAGATTTGAATCTAGGCATCCTGGTTTACAGAATACATACCTTTAATCCCTATGTTATATTGCCTCCCTATGAGAAATTTTTTCAAAAAAGAAAAAAAATTAAATATGTCTGATGTGGATTCTTCAGGTAAGTGTCAAATTTTCTGTTTTATTCAAGCTCTTCATTTCTGCTTTTTATCCCCCTGGATGTTTTTGAGCATTTGATTTCCCATCACCAGATAAGAAGAAGTAAAAGGAAATACAATTTACCCACACAGATTCTGTTTGCTTATGGTATTAATAAATGATCAAGGAAGGTGTCACAAGTGTGTAAAATAAATCTCAGGGAATTTCTAAATTCCTACTGTATGTCCTTCCAACTGTCACCACAGATAATCAAAATAAACTCTGTTTTCATTTTAAATTGAAGATAATCTTTTAAGGATAGCTGTTGATACAAACAATCTATTTCTTTGTGAAAGCCAGATTTCCTGTGTTGAAGACCATTACCTGTTGGGTTATTTGGGGATAGGCTGTTTCGACCTGATGAATGATGCAATAAATGGTAATCTGCTGTGAAAAAGTTGGGCTCAATTGGTTCTGGAGATCCCTGAGATAACTGAAACAGAAAAAGCAAAACTGCATCTTATTTTGCATTCAGAATCAAATGACATGAGACCTCTGTGTGCGTCTCTGCCCAGAAAAATTAGTGCTCTTCTGTTGTCAATCCCTTGTATACAGATAAAGACCAATCTTCTTCCTTTAAAAAAAAAAAAGATAAATTAGATGCAGGCAAATTACAGTGAAAGCAAGTAGATAATTCCTGGTCACATGAAAATTAAAAAAATACTATATAGCTTTATGAGAACAAAATAAAACTGGATAGAAAAATAATGGCATGGGCCTGAGATATCAAAATGTTATTTTTGTCAGGTGTAGGAGGAATGAACTCCAATCATTCAACAAAACATAATTTTTAGCCCAGATCATTCTTGTTTGACCAAGGCAAACACATTTCTTAATACATTTTTCTAAATTACTTTTTTTTTTTTTTTTTTTTTGGCGATACGCGGGCCTCTCACTGTTGTGACCTCTCCCGTTGCGGAGCACAGGCTCCGGATGTGCAGGCTCAGTGGCCATGGCTCACGGGTCCAGCCGCTCCGCGGCATGTGGGATCTTCCCGGACCGGGGCACAAACCCGTGTCCCCTGCATCGGCAGGTGGACTCGCAACCACTGCGCCACCAGGGAAGCCCCTAAATTACTATTAATTAATTTTAATCTCCAAACATTAATTCCCAACACTGTAAAGGAAAGAGTAATTCACTAAATGCCAGAACTTATTAAAGTTCCAATTGTTTAATGCCGTTCTATAATGATGAATTTTTTAAATGAAACTTTCAAAATCCTTTCACCTTTAATTCCAACTAACACTTGAGCTGGCCAAGTTTTTGCGCCTGTGTAAAACAATATACTTTTAAAATGTCGATACATATTAATAAACCAGAAACAAAAGGCACAATTTAGACTATTCGATAGTAGTTACCTTGGATTCACAAACTCTATTCATGAATTAAAACATAACATGGTTCAATCATTTGAGTAAATTGTTTGGCAGTTCACAAATATGCCCACCCTTTAAGCCAACAATCCCACTCTTGGATATACACACACAAGAGAAATGAGTACTTCTGTTCATGAAAAGACATGTACAAGAATGTTCGTAGCACATTTATTCGTAATAATCAAAAACTGGAAAACCCCCAAATGCCCACAGGATAGATAAATATATTGTGGTGTGCTTATCCAATGGAATTTTGCCAAACATGAAAAAGAACACACTGTGGATATACACAGCAAGATGGATGAGTGTTGAGCAAAAGAAGCCAGACACAAAAGGATACACAATGTATAACTTCATTTACACATATTTTCACAACCGAGAAAAGCTAACCAATGGTGACAGAGATCAGGACAATGATTACATTGTAACAGGTAGTAGAGTTTGACCAGGAAAAGGCAGGCAGGAGCCTTCTTCTGGGCTGGAAGTATTCTATATATCGATATGGGTGGTGGTCACATGGGTGAATATATATGTAAAAGTTCATGGAGCTGTATATGTACTTCACTGTATACATCATGCATTTTATACATTAATATAAACATTTTATATTAGCAATTGATAATTATTCCATCAATATGCTTTGGATACTATAAATAAAAATCATTTTTCAGTTTTCCAGTCTTCATATTGCCAACGAATGCTACACATTAGAAAAAAGATATGAATCATCCTTTTATATTCTTGAAAATTTATTTTCCTTACTTTAGTGACAACTGATAAAATTAATAACCCATCTGTAAAATGACAAGATTGTAAGACTGTAATAGTGTAATGCAGGAAGATTTTATTCACTTAATAACTTTCTCATCAGTTCTATTAGGAGGCAATGCAGATAGCCTTAAGCATTCTGTAGTTCTAATATCTAAGGTAGTAGATTATTCCAACTGAACTTCTTAATATGTCTTGTAATGCTGAAAATGATTTCCTGGTATTACCTTCCAAGTGACTTCAGATGGATTTTTTTTCATATGGTTGAGCATAGGAGTAATTTGGCTGCCTGAAATGTTCATCCCAATTATTTCTTAGAAAGCTTATTTAAGTCAACTTAATTATTAAGTGAACACCTTGGAATCCTAAAGATTTCACAGACAGGAAGATGCACAGTATCATATGTGAATTGTTACATGGAGAGGTCAAAAGAGTCATTTTAAGATGACAGGACAAGTTCTTTTCACTGATTCAAACTTTGAAGAGAGGAGTGTTTGATGTTTCCAGAGCCTGTGTCACACTAGCAGTCTTCTAGCCTAAGAACTGTGAATTCTCAGAGGGATGGGACCATGGAAGAAGCCAAGGACTAAAATCTTTAGTCTTGTGTTTGAGACCCAGATACATTTATTTTTATCCTAGGAAATTTCCAGAACTTTGTTTTGCAGTTCAGTTTTTTGATGTATACTATATTCTTTCAGCAAATCTTTTTTGCCCCTTACTATGTGACCTGAGCAGGTTTTGTAAATCAGAAATGTAAACCTTTCAATCCACATACACTGATGATCTGCCTAGCTTATTAGCACCATGCTGGGCACCATGGAGGACACAGAAATGATCTGGCCTCCATGAGACTTGCAAATTGACTGGAAAAATAGTCTAATGTATATAAAACAAGAGGGCAATGCATTAAATAATGAAGTGTGAAATGAGACCATGAGATCTAAGCTTACACAAAAAAGGATGCTTCATGAAGACCAGCATGGTTTTCAGAAGCTCTGTAGAAGAAACACTAGAGCTGAAACTCAAAGGCTGGAATTGGGTGGGATGCAAGGAAGTCAAGTGAACATTCCAGGTGAGAGGAACTTGAGGGCACAGTCTGGGTATTGCATATTAATGGCAAAGTGATAAAGGGCTATGACATTAGTCCATGTTATAGAGGCTTGGGGATTTAGGTTGAAGAGAGGAACACAAGTGTTATTCATTAATTCAGGGAGTATTTTTTATTCAAAAACATTCTTTAACTTAAAATTTTAAAAAATTTAAATATTTTTTAGCCACACTACACGGCATGTGGGATCTTAGCTCCCTGACCAGGGATCAAACCCATGGCCCCTGCATTGGAAGCACAGAGTCTTAACCACTGGACCACCAGGGAAGTTCCCAGGGAGTATTCTTTTTTAAAAAACAGCAGGTTCAGGGGCTTCCCTGGTGGCACAGCGGTTAAGAATCCACCTGCCAATGCAGGGTACAGGGGTTCGAGCCCTGGTCCGGGAAGATCCCATATGCCATGGAGCAACTAAGCCCCGTGTGCCGCAACTACTGAGCCTGCACTCTACAGCCCACAAGCCACAACTACTGAGCCCATGTGCCACAACTACTGAAGCCTGCGCGCCTAGAGCCCGAGCTCTACAACAAGAGAAGCCACTGCAATGAGAAGCCCGCGCACCGCAACGAAGAGTAGCCCCTACTCACTGCAATTAGAGAAAGATCATGCACAGCAACGAAGACCCAACACAGCCAAAAATAAATAAAATAAAATAAATTTATAAAAACAAAAAAACAAAAGGTTCTTTTTAGTTATCCATTTTATACATATTAGTGTATATATGTCAATCCCAATGTCCCAATTCATCACAAAACACCCCCCCCCCTCATGTTCCCCCCTTGGTATCCATACTTTTCTTCTTTACATCTGTGTCTCAATTTCTGCCCTGCAAACCAGTTCATCTGTACTGTTTTTCTAGGTTCCACATATATGCATTAACATACGATATTTGTTTTTCTCTTTCTGACTTACTTCACTCTGTATGACAGTCTCTAGATCCATCCACATCTCTACAAATGACTCAGTTTCATTCCTTTTTATGGCTGAGGAATATTCCATTGTATATATGTACCACATCTTCTTTATCCATCCGTCTGTTGATGGGAATTTAGGTTGCTTCCATGTCCTGGCTATTGTAAATAGTGCTGCAATGAACATTGGGGTGTATGTATCTTTTTGAATTATAGTTTTCTCTGGGTATATGCCCAGTAGTGGGATTGCTGTGTCATATGGTAGTTCTATTTTTAGTTTCTTAAGGAACTTCCATACTGTTCTCCATAGTGGCTGTATCAATTTACATTCCCACCAACAGTGCAAGAGGGTCCTTTTTCTCCACACCCTCTCCAGCATTTGTTGTTTGTAGATTTTCTGATGATGCCCATTCTAACTGGTGTGAGGTGATACCTCATTGTAGTTTTGATTTGCATTTCTCTAATAATTAGTGATGTTGAGCAGCTTTTTATGTGCCTTTTGGCATCTGTATGTCTTCTTTGGAGAAATGTCTATTTAGGTCTTCTGCCCATTTTTGGATTGGGTTGTCTGTTTCTTTAATATCGAGCTGCATGAGCTGTTTATATATTTTGGAGATTAATCCTTTGTCAGTTGATTCATTTGCAAATATTTTCTCCCATTCTGAGGGTTGTCTTTTCATCTTGTTTGTAGTTTCCTTTGTTTTGCAAAAGCTTTTTAGTTTCATTAGGTCCCATTTGTTTATTTTTGTTTTTATCTCCATTACTCTACAAGGTGGATCAAAAAAGATCTTGCTCTGATTTATGTCAAAGCGTGTTCTTCCTATGTTTTCCTCTAAGAGTTTTATAGTGTCCGGTCTTACATTTAGGTCTCTAATCCATTTTGAGTTTATTTTTGTGTATGGTGTTAGAGAGTGTTCTAATTTCATTCTTTTACATGTAGCTTCCCAGTTTTCCCAGCACCACTTATTGAAGAGGCTGCCTTTTCTCCATTGTATATTCTTTCCTCCTTTAACAAAGATAAGGTGACCATAAGTGCGAGGGTTTATCTCTGGGCTGTCTATCCTGTTCCATTGATCTATATTTCTGTTTTTGTGCCAATACCATACTGTCTTGTTTACTGTAGCTTTGTAGTATACTCTGAAGTCAGGGAGCCTGATTCTTCCAGCTCCATTTTTCTTTCTGAAAATTGATTTGGTTGTTCAGGGTGTTTTGTGATTCCACACAAATTGTGAACTTTTTTGTTCTAGTTTTGTGAAAAAGGTCATTGGTATTTTGACAGGGATTGCATTGAATCTGTAATATGCCTTGGGTGGTAGAGTCATTTTCGCAATGTTGATTCTTCCAATCCAAGAACGTGGTATATCTCCCCATCTGTTGGTATTATCTTTAATTTCTTTCAGCAGTGTCTTATAGTTTTCTGCATACAGGTCTTTTGTCTCCCTAGGTAGGTTTATTCCTAGGCATTTTATTCTTTTTGTTGCAATGGTAAATGGGAATGTTTCCTTAATTTCTCTTTCAGATTTTTTATCATTAGTGTGTAGGAATGCAAGAGATTTCTGTACATTAATTTTGTACCCTGCAACTTTACCAAATTCACTGATTAGCTCTAGTAGTTTTGTGGTGGCATCTTTAGGATTCTCTATGTGTAGTATCATGTCATCTGCAAACAGTGACAGCTTTACTTCTTTTCCAATTTGGATTCCTTTCATTTCTTTTTCTTC